CAGGGTAGTAAGTAGCTTAAAGCATTTCTGAAGGGGCTGAAGAAAAAGAATAGAGTAGGAGCTGGTAGGAGTGCACCAAAAGCCACCCCATAGAGTTTGATCTTCAACTGTTGCTCTAACCTAGATCAGGAGACTGCCTGACAAGTTGGGAAGCCACTTCTATAGTATCCTCTGCTACAATGAATCTTTTTTCATTACATGCATTAAATTATGTATGAGTGATAAATGACATTAAAAGAACAGTGAATAACTGCATTGGTTTATAAGAAAGTTTCCCAGTTTGTTCACCTTTTATATTAAATAATAACATCTGAAGGCACAGAACACTAACACAATCTATGCAGCAAATGCCAACAGTTGTCACATTCTCCCTAAACATAGTATCCATTCACCCTCACCTTTCTCCTGGGCTCAGTTTGCCAAGAACTCTTGGAGGTGTTTAATATGCAGTTTGAACTATATTAAAGTTTGAGTTGCCTGTTTTATTATGTCAGATAGGCCAAAACATAGGGAATATGCATTATATTTCACCCAGGGATAGAAGAGGTTTATGAAAAGCCCAAGTGCTGAAGTGAGAACAAAATTACTTGCCTTTTGATTGAATCTTACTGCATACATCTCATTGAACAAACCATTTAATTTTAATGATGGACTTTCCAACTCTTCATTTGTCTCTGAAATAATCACAACCATTGCCATAGCATAGCCTTATTAATGGCAAGGTATGCTTGTCCTCCTCTTGATACGGAACTTGAGCATGGAATTTCTCTGGCCAATGAGAAGTCAGTGTAAGTTACTTAAGCAGAGTTTCAAAATGCATTTGTAGAGTTCATCTTGCCTTCTTCAACCCTGGTGAGTCATCATGAGAAGAACATGATCCCAGTAAGCCACTAACCTTCTGCCTGGATCACAGAATAATATGCATGGAGATGGAAACATGTACTGGGTGATTGCTTGACTCAGAAAATTGAGCATCACAAGGAGCATACCTGAATCCAATCTGTAGTCTACAGCTGCAAGCCTAGATGTTATAGTACATCCACAGCTAGCCACAATGCAGTCACCCCATGACTATGAGTATGAAAATTATTACTATTTTAAACCACTGATTTTTAGAATGACTTATTACACAGCATTACTCTAGCAATAGGTGACTGATACTTATTAATATTTTAATTATATACTTTTATTCCTATGTATAATAAATTGTTATGATTCATCTAGCTTAGCCAAACTAACATAACATATTTTAGGCAAGATGTGCTTGAAAGATGTTAAACTATTATAGAAGAAATAATTAGAAAATGATAGTTTTTATAATTGAAATAAAATATAAACATTTTAGCACACATCTAGCAATACATGTTTTTAACCTTGAAAAATATCTTCCTTCCTTTTGTAGAATATTTCTTTCTCTTGTTCGTTTTAAAGCTAGTTGAAAGCATATTCATAGATGGAGAAATCTAAACTAATAGAAGTAGCTCTTTCGAAGAAATTCAATGTTTGCTTGAATAAATTTTACTAAAAATATTCTTTAGGTAGAACTCATAATTACATCGATTTTGAAAAATATTTATAAAATATAAATATGTATAAATCCCATGTATAAACTAAATTTCATATATGATCTCATTTAGTCCCTATTACAATGTTCAGAAATTCTTTCGTTTTCTTTTTTTTTTGGAGACAGAGTTTTGCTCTTGCTGCCCATGCTGGAGTGCAATGGCGCAATCTCAGCTCACCGCAACTTCCACCTCCTGGGTTCAAGTGATTCTTCTGCCTCAGCCTGTCAAGTATGTGGTATTAAAGGTATGTGCCACCATCGGGCTGATTTTGTATTTTTAGTAGAGAGGGGGTTTCTCCACATTGGTCAGGCTGGTCTTGAACTCCCGATCTTAGGTGATTTGCCCTCCTCGCCCTCCCAAAGTGCTGGAATTACAGGCATGAGCCACCACGCCCAGCAAGAAATTCTTTTTTAATAATTACTCATCTTTTACAGATAAGAAGACAAAGGTAAAGTTTCTTGTTGAAAATACTTATAAACAAAATTTATTTGGTAACTATTAATATATGCTCGTAATAAGTTTAATCAATACAATACAAATATGTAAACATTTCAGAATTGATGACATTATGTTCCCTCACCATTTTAAAACCAGCTATATGACCAGGCACAGTGGATCATTCCTGTAATCCCAGCACTTTGGGAGGCCAAGGCTGGCAGATCACTTGAGGTCAAGAGTTTGAGACCAGCTTGATCAACAGGGTGAAACCCCATCTCTGCTAAAAAACAAAAATTAGCCCAGAGTGGTGGTGTGTATGTGCCTGTAATCATAGCTACTTCAGAGACTGAGGCACGAAAGTCACCTGAACCCCGGCGGCAGAGGTTGCAGTGAGCTGAGATTGTGCCACTGCATTTCTGCCTGGGTGACAGAGTGAGACTCTGCCTAAAAAAAATAAAAATAAACCAGCTATTTTAGCCAATTTCCTAAAAGCCAATATTCTACACATGTCAAGGTGATAATAGGTAAAATTTCCAAGGTAATGAGTAAAGTTTCCATTAAGTAGTTCCTAGAAAAAGACTTCACAGAATATAATGCTTCACCTTTAAAATGAAGACAAAAAAATCAGCCTATTGACATTGGTTCCCTCAAAAACATGAGTGTCCCCTAATGTACAGAAAACATATTTTAAGGAAATAAATACTGCTAAAGTCCTTACTCCTCTTTATCGCAAGATGACATAAGTGATCTAAAGTTTAAAAATACATAAAATTAATTGAACTTTCAAATATATGAGAAAGTCATAAAACCTGATAGGCAAACGACTGCATATAGCCAGAGGAGAGTCATAGCAAAGGAGGAAAAAGAGCAAGTTATGTAGGAGTAGCATATTAGGTGTGTGTGATCTAAGAACAGTGAAGTCCTTTGCCTCTGAAATGTGACTACAGCCCTGTCATGCTCTAATACTCCACAGGGCAGCAGAATGATTGGAGTGAATATTAACTCAGACAGTTCTGGGGAGTCTCTATTTAGCAACAGCTGTACGGCTAGCACAAACCTAATATTGTAGAACAGGATAGACAGTGAAACACCACATAATCTTTTGGTCATGGGGCACTGTTACATAAATGCATCTGTGTTGTTCATTTGAAGACTGCCAGTAACAGTTTATTAGATTTAAACAAAAGGGCTAAAGTCAAACCTACACGATATGCGAGTGTAATAAACTTCCCCTACACTCTATGCAGGTGTGTTAGTGTGAAGCATCAATCCATCTGTTAAAATCACATTTATATTTCACAGTTTGTATTTCTTTGTAAAAAAATACATCATAATTCTTAGGATCAAAAGTTCACAGAACTACAGATCTAGGTGAGATTCTCAACTGAGTTACTTAGTACTGATCTGAACTAAGCCAATATCAGCTTTAGAAACAACTGTACATGCTTCAGAGAGTGTCTGGAGATATGTCAACTAATATATATTAAACAATTAAGCCCTTAAGATAGTAATTAAAACATGGTAAGTACTGAGTATATGTCATATTTTTTATTGTCAATATTATCATTGGTCATTTTCTTATGCTTTTTCTGTTTTTCTCACTTCAAATTTTAGAACACTTAATTTGAAGCCACATATGTCTAAGGTGCTTAACGAAAATATGAGATTGACAGAAATGATGATAAGAGTTGGAAGAGATGGAATCATTGAAAAAAGAATGTCAGTATGATAGCCAGTAAGGTTTTGCTGTGCTCAGAGTTGAGCTGATGTAGCGGTTTAACAAGTCTAGAAATCAATCAGAGAACACGGCTTGTTCTTTCTGCTGCAGATAGTAGAAAACTATTACTATATTCATGTAGATCAGTGGTCTTACATCCTCTAATATTTTCTAAAATTTCCTTCATTGTACATCTCTATCAGTTCAGCCTGCTATAGCAAAATACCATAGACTGGATGGGTTATAAACAAGAGAAATTCATTTCTGACAGTTCTGGATGCTGGAAGTCTAAGATCAGGGCATGGTTAGGTTCTGATGAGTGCCCTTTCCTTGGTTGCAAACTGTGTACCTATTATATATTTCCACAGTGGGAACAGAGCTAGCCAGATTTCTGGTCTCTTCTTATGAAGGAACCAGTTCCATTCCTAAGGGCTCCCCTCTCATGACCTAATTACCTCTCAAAAGCTCTACCTCCAAATACCATCTCATTGGGATGAGGTTTCATCATGCGAATTTTGGGGGAACACAGTCTATTGCACTGGTTAAAATCACATTTATATAAATATCATCTAAAACCACTCATTAGAATTATTCAAAATCACACATTATTGATGCAAAAACAAATATTGATTCAGAAGACTCATAACATATAACTGAAAGGAAACAAACATAACTTATTGCAAAATAATTAGTTATTATAAAAGACCTTATGAAGTCACTACATTCCTTCACCTTTTTTTTTTTTCCACATATATTTTTGTCGGTTTTATTTTTCTGTAAAATGTCCCAGTTCTTCCATAACTTATAAACATAATTTATACCGAGGAGTAGATGGGAAGGTGGACAGGGGCAGGACGGACTGACCGGGAATGGGGAAGCTCCTCTTGCTGACCCCTGGGGCAGACCCATACCCTTTAGGGGATGGGGAAGCAAGGACACTCCTCCCTGAGGTTATCTGACTGCCTCTGCCCCTGGTGGTCAGATCCTGCGTGTTCTTCAATCCCGGAATCCCTCCCAGGACCCCAGACCCCCTGGGCACGCTGCCCTGAGTACTCAGAATCCCAAAGAGCCATTCAGTTCTAGAATCCTCTCCTCAGTTGCTGGGGTGGGAGGGACCCTCCTTTCTGCTGTCCCCTCTGCCCCCGACTCCCCAGGAGAGAGGGAAGTGAGGGGAGGTGGAGGTGGAATCTGAAGGAGGAAGGGCATGGAAGGCAGGGGCTAGAATTAAATATTCTGATTATTAAATGCCTTTATAGGTGAACCACAAAATTCTAACTCACAGCGGTTGGTGAGGCCAAAGCTGCACTGGAACTTGTTCTTGCAGTGATTCAGGAAGGCCTGGAGGGCCAGTGTCAGGAGCAGGGGTGGGAGCTTCTTCCCCAGGGTGGCACCCACGATCCAGTTGCTGTCCACAGAGCCTTTGAAGAGGAGGTTGGCCTTGGGCAGGTCCAGCTGGTACCTGAACGAGACACTGGTGTCCTGCATCCTTGTGCTGGCCTCCAAACTCCACACGCACCTGCAGCTGGTCACTGGCTTTGTGGTAGTATGTCCTGTGCATGCCCTCCTGGCCCAACATTACCGTTGCCAACCAAATGTTCAATGTGTATTTTCCAGCTAGAGACATGACGGTGCCCTCCTCCCCAGGCTGCGGGTGGTAGACCAGCTCTCTGCTCAGAGCCAGTCAAGGCGTGATGCTCTGGAGGTAGGTAGAAGGTTACGAGGATTCCTGAACCCACAAGGACATCTGGGTTCCCAGCGTGACGACCGCTGTGAAGTCAGAGTCCCAGTACTTCCCGTCCACCTGCAAGTTCACAAACTTCGACTGCTGAGTCTGGATGGCCATCTTGGACCTGACGCCAGGGCCCAGCTAGTGAATGCCCTGAGCATTGAGGCTGCCGCTGTTGTCCATGTCACCCACCAGCACAGGGAACGCCTCTGTGGGACTCAGCTGCTTTGTCCTCAAATACGTGACCCAGAAGTGGTAGTTGGATTCCCGGATTGTGCTGAGGGCTACCATCTGAATGGGAAACAGTTCCTTGTACTTCCGGTGGTACTCCTCGAATGTGTCCGGGTTGGGCAGGCAGCCGCAGGCACGGACCTCGGCGGCCCCTGAGGTACTGGAGGTTGCAGTACCGGGGTTCCGTTCTGAACCTCGACCAGCACTGATGCCAACGCCCAGGCTGCCTCCCAGCGGCCGCAACGTGAAGTCCGTCGTCAAGGGCGGAGGTGGCGGCAGCGTCACGTGAGCCAGCACAGGCGGGGGCGGGGGCCCTGCGGGCTGGGAGCTGGCTGCTTGCCCATTCCGCATGGTCGCCTGACGGGAGAGGTCAGAAGGTGGAGGTAAGGGCCCGCGTGCCCTAGCCTCAGCTCCAGCAAACCCCCGCCTGGCTCCGGGCCCCGGTTCTCCTTCACCTTAAGGTGAGTTTGAAAATAAGAGAAGGAGTTTAATGTAACAAGTGCTGGAAATAGAGAGTTGTGTCCAGATACTAAAATAAAAACCGTATTAGGCTAATTAATAGTTGTTAGTAAGATACATAATAATGGTAGTAAATAACAATACAGCTCAGTATTGTCTGACATGATAACTACTAGCCTGGTGTGGTTATGGAGCATTTAAATGTGGTCAGTACTACTGAAAATGGAATTTTTAATGTTATTTAATTTTAGTTAAATTAGATTTATATAAAAAACTAAGAAAGTGTACAATATCTTAGTAATCTTTACATTGATTAATTACAGGTTTGGATTACAATTAGGAGATGCACTGTGTTAAATATAATCTATAATCAAAATTACTGTTTCCTGATTCATTTTACTTTTTGTAATGTGGCTACTAAAACATTGCAAATGATAAATGTGACTTACATTTGTAATTCCATAACACAGTGTTGCTCTTGACAAAGTGAGTGCTAGACCTCTGAGCATAGTAGCAGGATAAAATTGATTAATAATAAATTATCTCTCCAATTTGTTTCAATATGTGATTTTTATAACTGAGATACATCATTTCAATATGTGATTTCTGCAACCTAGATTTATGCATGTTACAAAAAGTTAAATTGCATACATGTGTGTGCACATATATATATGATTTTAAAACAATCTTTATTTATGAATTTCAGTGAGAATTCTGAATTTAATGTGTTCTATTGAAGTTGCTTAAAGTGTGTTAAAGGAATCTCATCTTTCCTCTGCTACACAGACCCATCAATAATGTTACTTTTGCCAGAATTCAACTGTAATCCTGGCAGCCTTTCAACCAAATATGTTCTTGGAAATTCTAGAGCAATTTAATTTTCTTACTTCCAAAGAAATGTATGTAAGTCTTAATATCATCCAACACCTTGCATAATTAGATTGATTAAAGTGTACTGTGGTTTCTGAAAACATTGATTTTCAGCTCAATTAAATTTTTCAGAAAATTTTGGCTAACGATGTTCTTCCCTGTTTCAAATGAATTAATTACCCAGTCCAGTTTTGTAAATTAAACCAAAAATTTTAAAAAGTAATCATTATCTCATATTAGCAGGCATTCAAAGCAAAGAAATCTATTTGCACTTATCTAAATTCTGCAAAAATAAAAGCTGTAAACATGTTTGATGCTCAATCTACTTTTAAGTAATATATGTTTACTTAAATATGTTACGACAATTTTAGTTACTATAAGATTGATCTTATTTTCTAGCAGCTTACAAAGGATAACATTTAACTATACAAATATATAAAGATATCTGAGAGATATATCATATCATTTTGTGATATTTGAATTATGGGGCTTAATTTTTCATTTAATGAATCAAAAAATTTTTAATAATTTCATAGAATAAAAAACTAAATATACATTAAAATCCATCTTAATTCCAATTTCAAACTAATGCAGTTGAATCATGGGGGTGGTTACCTCCATGCTGTTCTCATGATGGTGAGTGAGTTATCATGAGATCTGATGGTTTTATAAGGGGCTTTTCCCTCCCTTTGTTCCACTCTTCTTGCTGCCATCATGTGAAGAAGGACATGTTTGCTTCCCCTTCCATTATGATTCTAAGTTTCTTCAGGCCAACCCAGAACTGGGAATCAATTAAATCTCTTTTCTTTATAAATTACCCAGGCTCATATATTTCTTCATAGTGGCTGAGAATGGAATTATACACGCTGAATGCAACACTCATTGATTTCGAAGTATTTCTTTAACATTCCTAATGCTTGCATATTGTCACTTAATAATGCAGTGAATTACTAAAGCACTTAGAGCTATGGAAGTTGACTCTAAATCCACTTTGTGGAACCATCATTGCTGATATCCAAGCAGTGGGATTTGAAAGTGAATATGTTTTTCCATGAGATATTTTTAAGGGATTTGCAAATTGACAATCTCTTTATGTCTATTCTGAGAACATTTGAAAGTAACATTTTTTCATGTTTTTTTAATATATATTTTATTGTGTTTTAGGTTTTGGGGTACATGTGAAGAACATGCAAGATTGTTGCATAGGTACATACATGGCAATGTGGTTTGCTGCCTTCCTCCCCATCACCTATATCTGACATTTCTCCCCATGTTTATCCCTCCCCAACTCCCCACCCCCCACTGTCCCTCTCCTACTTCTCCCCAACAGACACCAATGTGTGAGGCTCTCCTCCCTGTGTCCCTGTGTTCTCATTGTTCAACACCCACCTATGAGTGAGAACATGCGGTGTTTGATTTTCTGTTCTTGTGTCAGTTTGCTGAGAATGATGGTCTCCAGGTTCATCCATGTCCCTACAAAGGACACAAACTCATCGTTTTTGATGGCTGAATAATATTCCATGATGTATATGTGCCACATTTTCCCTGTCCAGTCTATCATCGATAGGCATTTGAGTTGGTTCCAGGTCTTTGCTATTGTAAACAGTGCAGCAATGAACATTCGTGTGCATATGTCCTTATAGTAGAACGATTTACAATCCTCTGGATATATACCCAGTAATGGGATTGCTGGGTCAAATGGAATTTCTATTTCTAGGTCCTTAAGGAATCACCACACTGTCTTCCACAATGGTTGAACTAATTTACACTCCCACCAGCAGTGTGAAAGTGTTCCTATTTCTCCACATCCTCTCCAGCATCTGTTATCTCCAGATTTTTTAATGATCGCCATTATAACTGGTGTACGATGGTATCTCACTGTAGTTTTGATTTGCATTTCTCTAATGACCAGTGATGATGAGCATTTTTTCATGTTTGTTGGCCTCATGTATGTCTTCTTTTGTAAAGTGTCTGTTCATATCCGTTGCCCACTTTTGAATGGGCTTGTTTGTTTTCTTGTAAATCTGTTTTAGTTCTTTGTAAATTCTGGATATCAGCCCTTGGTCAGATGGGTAAACTGCAAAAATGTTTTCCCATTCTGTTGGTTGCTGATTCACTCTAATGACTGTTTCTTTTGCCGTGCAGAAGCTGTGGAGTGTGATTAGGTCCCATTTGTCTATTTTGGCTTTTGTTGCCAATGCTTTTGGTGTTTTGGTCATGAAGTCCTTGCCTACTCCTGTGTTTTGAATGGTTTTGCCTAGATTTTCTTCTAGGGTTTTTTATGGTGTTAGGTCTTATGTTTAAGTCTTTAATCCATCTGGAGTTAATTTTAGTGTAAGGTGTCAGGAAGGGGTCCAGTTTCTGCTTTCTGCACATAGCTAGCCAGTTTTCCCAACACCATTTATTAAACAGGGAATCCTTTCCCCATTGCTTGTTTTTGTCAGATTTGTCAAAGATCAGTTGGTTGTAGATATGTTGTGTTGCCTCTGAGGCCTCTGTTCTGTTCCATTGGTCTATATCTCTGTTTTGGTACCAGTACCATGCTGTTGTGATTACTGTAGCCTTGTAGTATAGTTTGAAGTCCTGTAGTGTGATGCCTCCTGCTGTGTTCTTTTTGCTTAGAATTGACTTGGCTATGTGGGCTCTCTTTTGGTTCCATATAAAGTTTAAGGTAGTTTTTTCCAGTTCTGTGAAGAAGGTCTTTGGTACCTTGATGAGGATAGCCTTGAATCTATAAATTACTTTGGGAAGTATGGCTGTTTTCACAAAATTGACTCTTCCTATCCACAAGCATGGAATGTTTCTCCACATGCTTGTGACCTCTCTTAGTTCGTTGAGCAGTGATTTTTCATGTTTTTTAATCTGTATGAACCTTACTTATTTTTAAGCATCATTGATTCATTTTCATAGAGGATATTTTAATCTGTTATATGAAAATGTGCTTGGCTGAAGTTAATTAAACATTTTCATACAACAAGTGTTATGATCTTTGACATTTTTCACAATTTCATCAAGCCTTCTTATAATATCATTGCTTAGTGAAATACAAATTTTTTAAATTTGAATTTCTCTCTGATATAAAATGTTTCATACAGCTGGGAATATTAATATTCACTAATATTTTGGCTTTATATGTTTTATAATGCATTGTGCTTTTCCGTAAGAAATAATGAGACCTTTATTTCTCTGATTAGGGAATAATTTAAAACAATTTGGTGACAGTAACACAGTTTTCAAGCTTTTCTTATAAATTTCAGAAACATGATATTATATACTTGATAACTTTATCAGTGTTCTCCTTAGAAAAATTCACAATCAATCTTGTAGTTTTATTGTTTCATGTGTTGCTCTGTGGTGGTTCATATTTATAATCCTACAACTATAAGAGGCTTAGTTGGGAGGATCAGTTGAGGCCGGGAGTGCAAGATCAGCCTGGTGAAATGTCCTCTCCACAAAAAATAAAAGAAATGTAGTTGGGTGTGGTGGTCTGCAGCTGCAGTGCAGCTACTTAGGAGGCTGAGGTGACAAGCGGCTTGAGTCCAGGAGGTGGAGGCTGCACTGAGCCATGATCATGCCAGTGGATTCCAGTCTGGGTGACACAGTGAGAGCCTGTCTCAAAAATGTTGGCAGACTAATCATATGAGAAATTGTTTAATTATTAGGTAAGGTATAAAACAATGGCAAATAGTCAGCTAAATATACTTGATACATTTTCTTTGTATTTGACATTTTAAAATAAAGATTTTAAAATGTATACCTATATTTTAAATTTCCATAAATATAATGTTATAAATGCCAACATACACAGGTATGTTACATTGGTAACTCAAATATCATAGGCAACTTAGCCATTGTAATATCATTTTCCTAAATATAGAACAACATTTGGCAAAATTTGAGCCAGACAGTGTAAAATGTTCCCTTGATTTATAGATGAATTCTAGGAAATTTCAGTGTGTATTATAACCACTGAAAATATTTTGTTTATATGTATAATGGAGTTAGTTTCTAGGCTCAGATAATTTTAAATGGCAATGAAGGACCTTCAAAATTTGTGCAGCATGGTCAAATTTTGTTTGGTTTGCATAACAGCTCCATGGTGTATAGGATGTCTGATATTCTCGGTC